GGACTCCTTTAAAATGTTGTATGCACTGTTGGTTCTGTGTTGTTGGGAATAGCCCCCGAAACATTTATGGACATAAGCTGAGAGTCTGGGGTGGACCTAAAACATACTTTGCTGTCATCAACTATAGGGTTCTAAATGATTCACCACACCTTTGATCTGTGTACAGAAGAGACGGAAACTCAGTGTTCCTAGAGTTTAGATAACTTGGGGGCCCAGAGGTTTGGTTTTGTTTTGCCACCAAAGTTAACTGTCTCCTCTCTTCAGTTATCTCCCTCGGCAGGGTCTGCTCCAGGGTGCCTCCCTAGTGCTGGCTGGAAGGTGACCCTCTGGCTGCTCAGGAGCTTATCTGCCCACCCAGGGGGCCCTGCCACCCTCTGAGAAGGCTTGGGAAGGAGGGCTGGGACGTCTGCCCTTTCACCAGAGAAGCTGCAGCATTGCAGGCCCACGGGGATTTTGGAGGATGAAAGGAAGGGCAGACCTAAGGGATCCTAGGAAATGCCTCTGGAGACATTTTGGCCTCAAATGGGAAAGAAGAGAAAATTAATAATCATATTCAGGATTTTTATGTTTCTTAATCTGTAACTCAAAACTTTGAACTGCTAACTTTAAATGGCTAAGTAAATAGTAGTCCCTGTTTTCTAGAAGTCACCCACTTTCTACAAGGATGTATGATGTTGTAGTAGCTCCACAGTATAGGTTCTGGAACCAGACTCCTTGTGGCAAGTCCTGGCCTGGCATTTTACAGCTGTGTATTCTTGGACAAGTTCCTTGACCTGTGATGCCTTGGCTTTTCCATCTGTAAAATGGGCTTAATAATAATACTACCACCTGCCTCATAGGGATGTTGTTTCTTGGCACTTCGCAACTGCTAAATAGGCAAATGCTTTATGTTATTATTGCAATATTGTGCCAGATGGAGCCTATTTAAACGCTTAGCAAATAAAAGTGTAAAAAATTAATTTTTTTTTTGGCCATGTGGCATGTGGTTTCTTAGTTCCTGACCAGGGATCAAACCTGTGGCCCTGGCAGTGGAAGCACATAGTTTTAACCACTGATCACTAGGGAAGTCCTCCAGATGAATAGTTTTTGATGTTTCTTAATTTTCCTGAGGCTCAGAGAGGCAGGTTAGAGGTAACCTATAAGATGTTATGGTTTTGTTTATTTGACACTCAGGTAGAAACTTACTGGGGTTTCCCTGGTGGCTCAGCGGTAAAGAGTCCACCTGGGATGCAGGAGATGCTAGGAGACGCTGGTTCAATCCCTGGGTCAGGAAGATCCCCTGGAGGAGGGCATGGCAACCCACTGCAGGTAACCCATTCTTGCCTGGAGAATCCCATAGGCGTGTGGGTTTGATTCGTGGTCGGGGAGCTAAGATCCCACATACCTCGTGGCCAAAAAACCAAAATAGAGAACAGAAGCAATGTTGTAGCAAATTCAATAAAGACTTTCAAAATGGACCACATCAAAAAATCTTTAAAAAGATCTGTGAAGCTGTAACTCAGATTAACCCTCAGACTTCTCCATAATATCCACATCTAATGTGAGAAAATTCAAAGCTACAGGGAGTGGACAGCTTCCCCACTGGTATTGTTCAGGAAAGAGCAGGCAAGGGAAGCCTTCGGAAGACCCCACGGTGCTGCGAATGTCTCCATGTGAGTGGTGTGGCAGTGACTATGGGGCTTCCAGGTGTGACCTCCTGGGCTGGATCCACTGCTCTCCTATTATTAATTGTGTGGCCTTGGGCAAGCTATTGAAGCTGCTAGCCTCAGTGTCCACTTATGGAAAATGAGAGTTGGCGTTGACTCATGGAGTCACTGGAAAGAGTGAGTTACTGAGTCTGGAGTGCTTGGCACGGCCGTGCCTGGTACATAGCACTGTGTAAATGTCAGCCACTGTTGTCAGTGGTCAGACAGTGCTCCTTCCTTAATCCCCTGTCCTTGGAGCTCTTAGTGTTCACTGTCCATGAATGTTTTTAGGCCTCTAATTTCTTAAAACATGGTTCTCATTATTAAAGGGGTCAGATCCTTTTTTCTGGAGAATCCCTTTTAGTAAGTAAGGCACATATGTGTTCTAATCAAAGCTCTACTGTGGCTTGTGTGGAACCTTAATAATGGAATGATCATTTTTATGATTAGAATTGTGTAGAAAGCAGTAAACTTTAGAGAAAAAGATGATCACTTTTTTCTAGATATTTTGTTTTCTAACAGCCTTAATTTATCTCCATCAGTCTTGTTCTATGATGGAAATGGTCACACTTGGGTCTTCTGAATTGTCTTTTCAGTATATGGAAGTTTTGTTTCATTTCTCCCAGCTTGAGTAATCACTTGTGTAAGACAATCATCTCCAAATTTCCCCCCAAAAAAGATAGGTCAGTCTTGTTAATTATGTAGGGTCGCATAGTGATGGACCTGAGAATAACCTGGTGGATGGGGTGTTTTTTCCCCCTGTGGTCCCTGCTTCTGGCCTTCCTTAGCACTCATGCCAGCCCATCCCTGGCGTTCAGACTGCTGTGTGCCCTTAGAGAAGGCACCTTTTAACGGTAATGTGCTGTGGTATAGAAATAGTATTTTAAAATATATGTTTGTTTATAAATACAGTTGTATTCACAGCTGTAGAATGAAATGAGAAGGGATTTAACCATGTCAAATGCACCATGACACAGTACCAGAAATAAGGCTGCAGTTGGAAATTTGTAAGTTGTTCAGGACCTGGTGTCTTCTTTCCTCGGGATTATTGCTCAGATAAGACAGGTATTTACCTGGGAATTGATAGCTGCCACGCTGGTCAGGTTTTCCCTTTCCTTTTGTGAAGTGTGTCTTTGTGAAGAGGGGGAGCCCAGAACTCTAATCAGTGCTGGGTAGCTTTCAGTAGCCCCTCACAGGTTAACTTCCCTTTCTTCTGCCTTGTTTCTGGTATTAGTAATCAAGACTTTAAGCAGAAGTTTGTACTTTTCACATCCTCTTTCAAAGATATCGTGTGCAGTGCAGTTTTAATCAGCCACAGAAGACCACTGTGGGGGAGAGCCACCATGATGGGATGCTGGTGATGGTCGTGATAGCTAACTTTTAGGAGGCTACTGACTGCTTGGCCTTATGTTAAGCATTGTACTATATCCTCTTATGTAAAACCCCCAACAGCTCTATGAGGGATGCTGCAGAGAGGCCAGGGTTCAACAGATAGTCACAGGGGTCTGGATTTGGGGGCAGGCCACTGGCCCCAGACTCTTCGTTTTTAGCCAGCCTTGGCCTTCCATGCCCACTGCTTAAAGCTGGTCAAACCTGTGCAAAAACTCTAAATGGGACATTCTACTAAGTCAGAATGATGAAAATGCTTACTTTGATGAACCATTTCATTCTAAGCCTGACATCCCTTGCTTTTGACCTTCTTGCTTCTGTGATACAAGAAAGTCCAGGGCTGAGCGAGCAGCTGATAAAAAGAGGAGACATAAAAATAGTTGAGTACCTATTTTCTAGTTAATGGCCTAGTTTGAAGTTTTCCTGAGAAAATTCTCTCTTCTTTGTTTACTTTTTCTTCTTTCAGGGAAAATTTTTCTATTTTTTCCACCTCTGGCTTTTCTACTTTTTTCCCTTGCTAGTATCTTCCATATTATTATTAATCAACTCTTAAATGACAGTATTCCCAGAGTTGACTTTGTTCAGTCTTATGGCACAAATCCATAGTTCACTTGTGCTAGGTTGTAACAATGCAGTGCAGAGAGTTACTTATTCATTTATAATTAAGAACTTGGTTCATGCTGTTTTAAAGAACAATGTTTTATTTCCTTTTCAGTTAAGGAGATAAGGGTCCTTTCTTCAACTCATTTAGTTTGGGAAATTGCTCTCTCTTTCACGCACACATACACTCTGAATATTATAAGTGACACAGTGACAGAAAAGGATAATGTGGACAGTGTTGGACTACATATCCTAAAGGATGAGTTATGAAATAAGTACAACAACAACAAAAAAAAAAGTACAAAAAAAAAAGTAATACTTCAATAAAGACATACTATTGAGTCCTTTCTATTTCTTCATATTTCTGTAAGTTGGTTTCATCTCTGTTTCTGTTCAGCATTTATAGGCAAACGTGATCTGGAGAGACAAGAGAAGGTTTTGTTCCTTAATGTGATGTAGGTTGGCCTGAGTGATGTGTATATTTCAGTATACACAGGCGTGCATAGAATTTTAGTATGCCTGTGTGTCCTAGATCTCCAAGACAGGGAAGTGAAAGGGTACATAACTCTGTCACTTAGGTGAGACCACTGTAAACCAACCAAACAAAAAGCCCTTTGAAAAAAAAAAAGCAGAAAATTATTTTTCAGGTTTACAAGGGGCATCATTTGTAATTTAAACATAGACACTGATGTGGGCCAGTTGTTAGAAGAACCTAAAAATATTGTATATAGCTTTCTGAAGGAGAAGGAAGACCTAGCATCAAGCGTTTTATCATTGTGTTCTTACACGCCCAGCAAAGTCCCAGTCAGGCTCCCCCACTTGCTCAGTGGAGATGTGGAGGTAACTCAGCTTGGTGTGGCTTGGGAAAGACGCTGTGCCTGACACGCGTAAGGATCCTTGTGATGACCGCGTTCACCCTGTAGCTTGCTACTCGATAGAATGTAAATGGAAAGTTAAAGGACAGGTTCCTGGGAATAAGTGATACAGCATATCCAGGGAGGGTACCCACCAGTCACCCCCAGAAACTTGTGTCAAAACAGACCGATGCCCTCAGACTAGGGCGGTTCTCAAGTTCTGTTCTTTCTTGGTTTGTAAAAACCTTGATAAAAGAGGTCCTTTGGAAATTGTGGTACTTAAATTTCCTTAGACCGAATTCTAGAAGAATCTGTAATGAGGGAAGGAATGGGGATTGGGATGGAATGGGATAGGGTGTGACAGGATGAGGATGGGTTGCAATTCCCCCATGTTCTTAAATATTCAGGCAGATTAATATGGGATATGATGCTTGCCTTTTATAATGCTTTACCTTTTTGTTTTCTCTTGCAGATATGACTATATGTGAAGAGTTCTAAAAGACTAAGAACTTAAAACATGTGAAGTTGCCTAGGGAATTATTTTTTATCTTTTATACAATTTCTATGGTAGAGTCTACAGGCAAGTGGATGAAAGCTAAAAGGGAATATTGTTGCTATGCTGGATACAGAATTCAGTTTGCTTTGAAACAAATTTTGGTTTAAAAAATATCTGATGAAAAATTTTATTCCATATCCAAGGAGGAAAAGAGCTCATTTTTTTCATCTTCCCAACCACTGTCCCTCCCAATCCCCCATCCGTGGCCTTGATGTACACACTGCAGTTTCTCCAGTACGATCACGATGTACAGTGGAACTATTTGTGTACGGCCTGAGCTAATGCTCAGGGTGTGTGTGTGCGCACGCGTGTGTGTACACGTCTGCGTACTGTACTTCTGTTCCCTCAACCCTTGGATCTCAATTTTGTTACTGGTTGTGAGATGATCCTCTTACAGTTTACCTGTAATAGAAAATAAAAGATGCATCTTTGGTAGTGAAGGCTCCTTGAAGACGTAGTCTAGCCCTGGGTACTTGATCCCCCCCCCAAGAGATTATGGACTCAGAGGGAACCAGATGCTAGACTTTGGATTCGGAGACCAGAAATCAGCACTGACCTGCTACCAGCATGCCACTCCTAGGTCACTTATAAAATATTGAGTTTTTTTGTTTTTTTTTAACTCAAGCTAAGCAAATCTTATTTAGCCGTTGGATAAGGAGGAAAATGGTTTAAAGTCACTATAAAAAAGTCTTGTCTTGATAACTCAAGACCAAAACAAAACAATCTCACTTCTGATGTAAGGTGGGCCCGCACCTTCCTCTGGTATGTTTTCCTTGGTGGTCTTCCTGTTCTCCATCTTGTAACTAGTGCCTATTTTTAAAGGATTCTTGAGGGTTACTTTCTCCTGTAGGCCTGGAATAGCCCACTTTTTAAACACAACAACAGTGCAGTTTATAGAACACCTGAAAGAACCCAGAGGTGAGGGAAGTAGTATATTTACGGTAGGTCTGGGCCGAGAGGAAAGGAGCCCAGGAGGAGGGACTTCTCCAAGACCTGCCGCCTGTCAGTATTGCTGTGGTGCCTCGGGGCACTTCCTCTATTGCAAAAAGAAAACACCGTTCTCATTTACTCCCAAAGATAATTCTTATGAAAATGTAAAGTATTTACTGTAAGTATACTCATTCCATTCTTTTTCTGGCATCAGACTAAAAATTTCTAACCTTTTAAGTGAGTGGTAGGTTCAGTTTCATGTGAATTTTTGCTGCCAACTAATTAAAAGGTGTACGTGTGCATGCATATACACAGTGGACCAGGAGAAGGCAATATGGAAATAAATATCACTGTGCTCCAGAAAGTAGCAATATCAGAATTTTGGGGGGGAGTTGTGCATTAGTATAAATAATATACATGCAGTCTAAACCAGTAGTTTTATAAAAAGGAATCATTTTTTGTTTTAAAAATATCATGCCCTCAAAATGATGAGGGATAAAGGGTAAGATATTCTTCAGCTTTAATTATTTTTTAATTTTATTCAGGTCAGAGCACTTTTTAAAATAACAATACAACAGGCAAGAAAATACTCAAAATATTTAAAATTGTATTTATACCAAGAGTACATATGTTTTAAATATTTTCTAATACTTGAGCAGTTGCTGTCTGACTGGCTTCCAAATATGCCAAGAGTTAAGCATTCAATATTTTCAACATATGCGCTTTTTACTGGTTTATATTATCTAATAAGAATCCTTAAGTGTCCCCAGTGCAACTGATGTTTACAGGCCTTTTGTGTTTTTCCTCCTTCTTTAGGAGGCTTGGGGAGCCACAACAAAGTTACTGTATAAAACACTAATGATGGACTAACTTCTGATGTAATAAATGAGTCAGCTACCACCTCGATGTAAAAATTTGTAAAGGGAATTTTTCACCATTTTGAGTGTTAAATGTATTTTTAACTGTCTGGTTTGTACTTCTACAACTTTTGTACTACCAAAGAAGAGTTAAAAATAAAAATGTTAAACGCAGGGAGCTGTTTTTGAATGATCCAATTGTTGGTGCCTTGAGTACTGAAAAGTACAATTGTGGTTGGTATAATTTATCAAGCTTAATGTCACAGTGCCCATTTTCTTATGTCTAAATTGTCAAGTGATCACTTGGCTGACTTTTCTCATTGGGTTCTTCCTCTTCCCATAGTGATATCACCCCTTGATTATTATTTTGTTTAAGTCTGGAGATAATTTTGGATGTATGGAACACTTTCAGAAGCAGTACAAAGCGTTCTTGTATACTCTTCACCCCACTTTCCCTTATGGTATCATCTTACATAACCATTGCACATGATCAAAGCTAAGAAATTAACGTCAGTATAACACTATGAATTAAGTCACAGCATCATTCCAGTCTCACCAGTTATCCCATTAACATCCTGTTCTGTTCCAGATCGCCCACTGCATTTATCCCTTGGCTTCCTTAGTCTCCTCTGACCTGTGACTGTCAGTTTTTCAGGATCGTCACGTTAGGGGGTGCTCATCCATTATCTTAGAGAATGCCCTTCAACCTAAGTGTGCCGGCTGTTTCTCCTGATTAGACCGGGGGTCTGCATTATAGAAAGGATGCCTTTCCTCTTGCTCCGTATTGGGGGGCTGTTGGGGGAGGACGTGAGGTCAGTATGTTTCACTAGGGATGTCAGCCTCCACTATTTGGCTCAGGTGGTGGCCACCAGCGTTCATTTCTATGAAGTCACTAGTTTTCCCTTTGTAATGAATAAGTTTTTGAGGGATGACTTTGGGGCTTCCCAGGTGGCACAGGGGTAAAGAAACCACCTGCCAGTGTGGGAGATACAAGAGATGTGGGTTCAATCCCTGGATCGGAAAGATCCCCTGGAGAAGGAAGTGACAATCCACTCCAATATTCTTTCCAGAAAAATTCCATGGACAGAAGACCCTGGTGAACTACAGTCCACAGAGTTTCAAAAAATCAGACTCAACTGATCGTGCATGCGCACGCACACACACTTGGAGATTAGGCACATCCTATTTCTGCTTAAACTTTCTCCCTTTAGTTTTTACCACGTCTTAGTTTATTAGGGCTCCTATAAAAAACGGAGGTGGTGCCTAAAACAGCAGAAGTGTATTCTTTCGCAGCTGAGGAAGCAAACGCCCGACTGCCCCGCGGCCCGTCTTCCGTCTTGGTGCTTGCTGGCAGTCGCTGGCGTTCCCGGCGCTGTGGCTGCTTCGCTCCAGGGGCTGCCTGATTTCTCAGGGACATCTCTGTGCGTGGGCCTCTGTTCACGCGTCTTCTCATGGGGACACTGATCACTGTATGGATATAGGACCCTTTGTAATCTAGGATAACTGCATTTTGATTACATTTGCAAAGACCCTGATTCCAAATATCATCAATTATCTCCACCCGAACCTGGAGTTAGCAATTCAACCTATCCTTTTAGGGGACACAGTTCAACCCCCTACACCACCCACTGGTGGGTCTTGCCTGCAGCTGTTTTTACGTGGGAGGGACTCTTTCAGGTCGGTGGCGGTGACCTTTTGATATGGCTCCTTCTCTTTACTTCGTCTTCACTTTCTCTCTTTATCCCTTTTGCCCTCTCTACCTTTCTGGATACCACAAGATGCTCCAGGCTCATCTCCTCTTGTGCTTTCCTTGTCTCAGCCTGGGGATCCACCACTAATCAAGGAGCTCTGGCTCCCTTTATTGGAGAAAGGTGTTCAGAAGTAGAGATCAGAGCACTAGGTGTGCCCATTGATTCTGGGGTGTCACTGCTTCCAGGCACACATACACACAGACACACACTGCTGACCTACACATGTACACCTCGTTATGTAACATTTTTGTTTTCTTCTGGCCGTACCATGTGGCATGCGGGACCCCAGTTCCTCAATCAGGGGTCAAATGTGTGCCTTTTACAGTGGACTGCCAGGGAAGTCCCAATGTAACTATCTTTTTTTTTTTTTAATTTTATTTATTGACTGTGCTGGGTCTTCATTGCTGCTTGGGCTTTTCTCTAGTTGCAGCAAACGGGACCACGCTAGTCATGGCGCACAGGCTTCTCACTGTGCTGGCTTCTCTCGTTGCAAAGCACAGGCTCCAGGGCTCACAGGCTTCAGTGCCTGTGGTTAGCGGGCTCGGGAGCACAGGTTCAATAGCTGTGGCACACAGACTTGGTTGCTCAAAGGCATATGGGATCTTCGCACCAAGGGTAGAACGCATGTCTCCTGCGTTGGCAGGTGGATCCATTCATTATCACTGAGCCACCAAGGAAACCTTCTGTGTAACTATCTTTAGAACAAAATAACTGCTGCCTCTGACCCCAGTCTAGCTCCACAGGCTTCCCTCTAAACTTCCCACTTTCCGTCTTGGTAATTTTTCTCCAACAATAAAGAAACCTGGCTCTTATGATCTATGATCTTTTTACATCTGTATCAACCCTAGCATATGTACAAAGTAGTTTGAATATAGACCCCTAAAGAAATAGATTTCCAACGAGAGCACAGTGCCATGTACTATTCTTCTAGTTTCGAGCCTTAGAAAATCCAGCCAGAAGCCCATTAGCCAAAATTAATTAGGTCAGCACCTTCGTTCCCCACCCCTTGGGCATGGTTATGTGATTCAGTTTTAACACAGAGTCATTTGTCATCGTATGCATACCATCTTTCCTTCATATCCAGGTTAAGTTTCTTAAAATTTATGTACAGCAAACTTTACTCTTTGTGGTGCCTCATTGGGTTCTGATTTTGAATTTTCATGTGTGTCTGTGTGTGTGTTTTCCTTGAAATCGAGATGATCAATTAACAGCTTATGCTAAGGAAGTGGAAAAGCTAATTTTGTAATTTTTGGCTCATGAAAACCAGGAAACCTAGAATGTATGCATGAGGGAGGATGTTAGGACTCCCCCACCCACCCAATCTCTCATTTTGGAAAGGGGTCATTTGAGGTTACAGGTTTTGTTGTTAATCAGCAGTTTGATATCCTCTCTAGGCTCTTTCCTAGGATTCAACTCTCTCTGGACACAGGTAGGTCCTGGTGAAAGTGCCAGGGAGACTGAGGGTCCGTGGCCCTGTATGCTTCCGCACGTCTTTCTCAAAATCAGGTATTGAGGCTTCCTGCACCCTGATCTGACACAGTGGACGCATGCAGGAACACTTCCTTCCCTCCCACCAAGGACAGCAGGATGGTGATGCTTTGGGAGTGGGGTTCCGCCAATAAAGCATTTGGCTGTGGTCAAAGGAGACTCCGTTTTGCCTCCAAGGTCCTTGCCAGTTCTTAAGTCCTCTGACCCTTTTGTCTGTGGGGCAGCTTCTGTCCAGGGCTTCCTTCCTTCATTCCTCGTCTTCCCAGGCTCCGGGACTGTTCTCAGCTCTCTGGAGGTCCCTCACGGTGGATCCAAACATCTGAAGGGACACCGGGGCTCTGACCCCGGCGTCCTGGAACCGCCCAGCGGGTGTCGCTGCCCGTCGCTGCCCACCGGACTCAGCCGCTGTCCTGCCGGTTGGCGTCCGCCTCTCGCAGAGCGGGCATTCGCGCCCTCTGCCGGCCGGACGCGAGAACTGCAGGCGGCCAGCTTCTTGGCCCTTTGTTGATGGTGGGGATCTTCTCTCAGGGCCTGGAGCTCAGAAGGTATATAGGCATGATTTCATGATGATTCGCTGAATGAATGAATGAATAAAAGTCTACTTTAAAAAGATGAGAGATTATCATTCACTATTTTATGGGAGTAAAAATTTGGATTTTTCTTCACTCCTTTTCTGACGCCAGCTGGTCTCTCTTGTCTTTCTCATGGGAAACCCTAGTTTCTTACCTAGGAACTTGCTCTCCTGCACATGTGACCTTGGATGCTGATAGAAATCTTTGAGTTCCACTTTGAAGGGAACCCCGTTCCCTGAATCCTGCCCTGGAAGCGGTGTGTGTATACAAGCAGTGTGGTCTCAGAGAAGTAGCTTGGTCTTTGCTTCTGGCTCTGACACTCATGGTGGTGTAGTGTTGGGAAACTGCCTTATCTCTGAGATACAGTTTCCTCATCTGTAGCATGATCTGTCTCACAGGATTTTTAAGGAAATAGAAACATGCATGCAGAGTCATGGGGCCTGCCATGATCTCCACATTCACTCTGATGATGAGCGCTGTCACTGTCAACAGCCAGGCTTGGTAGGGTCTGTGTGTTTCTGTCCCACCAGAGCTGGTCAGGATGGCCTGGGCAGAGTCTCTGCACACAGAATTTTCTCCAGGTGCAGAGCTGAGCCAGGAAAGTTCTTGCTCTGAGTCTGAGCCACCGTTAGAGTTTGAAACCCTCATGGAAGAAGCAAGGACTAGAGGAGAGTCCGTATTTTGAGGAGGCAGAGCCCAGGGGTAGAAGAAAGATCTGAGGGGACTTCCCTGTATGGACTCTGCGCTTCCACTGCCGGAGGCCTGGGTTCGATCCTTGGTCAGGGAACTAGAGCCCATATCCTGCAACTGAAAAAAAAAATCCCACATGCTGCATCTAAGACTTGGCACAGCCAAAATAAATAAAACAAATATTTAAAAGAAAAAGATAAAAAGATCTGAAGATGAAGCGGTAGTGTGTGTAAGGGGCAGCTGGAACTCCTACAGGCCAGCACCTCTGCTTTCTGTGCATGGTGCCATCTTTCCTGGAGAACACTTCTCCTCCCTCTTAGAACATGGCCAGGTGGCCCACTCTCTGACCACAGCTGGACGAGACTGAGGTGGGCGCACGACCATCTGTGACCTGGCCCAGTGGGGTCTCTTCCTGGGATATTTAACAACTGGAGCTGAAGAAAGCGGTTCATTTCTCTGGCGGCTAAAGCTGGTGGAGGCCGTGCTTCCTGACATGCTGAGGAAGCCAGTCTGAAGAAAGGACAGGAACATGCCGAGGGAAGACAGGCAGCCCTGGCTTCTCTCAAGGCCCAGATGCAGCTTCCCCGAGGCTCAGCTGCCCGTCTGAGTTTTACGACCATTCCAAGAACATTTCTCTTTGGCCTTACCTCATGTATGTAGAGTTTCTATCGCT